TAAATATAATTATTTTTATTAATTAATTATTGATTATTAATTATTTTTAATAATTAAATTAAACTAATAATAAAATATAAAAATATTAATAAAAATTGTGGGCCTAACAATCTTAAAGTATTGGGACATAATCAAAGTACTGGCTAAAGCTCTGTTAAGAATTTTTTTTTTGATACAATTGATAATTAATAATTAATGTTTAATAATTATTAATTATTATTATTTATAATTTAAAATATATAATTTATTTAATTAAAATTAACGGTTAATAACTATTTTTTAAAAAAACCTAAACCAAACACAGCCTTAGTCGGTAAGCCCTCAGGAATTCGCAGGGAGACGGAAACTCTTCGCTTCGCATCAAGCCAATTAGGGTTTCGTTTCTCCCAAATTCTATTCCATTTCCTTTCTTTTCAAGGTAATGTGTATTTCCATTTCTTAGGGTTTCGTTTCCGTTGAAGTTCTTCTTGATCAGGTTCCATTTTGCTAGCGATGATTACTGTTTCATAATTCTTCGGTTTCTTTGCGCATTAATGGTTGAGAGCGATTGCTAAATTTGTTTCATAATTGTTAGATAATACTGTATGTTAGTTTATGTGATTCTTTGCCCCTTAACGGTTGAGAACGACTGCTTTGCGTAATTGCTCAAGAACATTGTTAATTTTGGTTGGTTGTTCTTGGTTGTACTTGTACGCTGTAAATATAGTTAGATTTCCCATTTTCTTTCTTTTTGTTTTTTTTTAAGCATAGATGTTTGCCTTATGCAAATTCTTGTTGACATTGGATTTGAGTCTTTTTTTTTTGAGAATTTTTATCTTGATATGCGGGAGATGATTATTTTATTTTATTTTATTTTTTTCATTTAGAGTACTCTAAAAATGCAGAGAAACAATGGTGGTGGCGGTCATCTTTTCTTCAATTTTGGTGACCCTTTCAGGGGTTTTGGGGGATTTGGCAGTTTTGCAGGTCCTATGAACTTGACGTCCAGTTTGTTCATTGGAAGGGACCCTTTTGATGATCCTTTCTTTACACGTCCTTCTGGAGGCAGGTTCGGCTCAAGCTTCTTCAGTCCAGGTGGAAGTCCTTTTGCAGACATGAATTCACCTGCATTTATTGAGGATCAGCCTCCAGAACCTATGAAATCAAGGGGGTTTATCATTGAGGAACTAAACTCTGATGAAGAAAAAGAAGAATCGGGTAAAGAGAAGAATAAAAATCCTAGAAAGCATTGTAGGTTAATTAGTGGAGCTTATGTTGAAGATCCAGATGATGCAGCTGAAGGTTATTCTTTCTCTCTTGTCATGCGGTTCAAGTGATTTTGTAAAGCATGGATAATTGTTCTAGTCTTGGTTAGTTAAAATAGTTTCCTTCTTTGAATGCAGAGAAAAGGAACAAGCGTTTGCAGTATAGGAAATAGCAGAATAGGTTCTACAATAATCAGCAGCAGCCTCAAGCTAATAGCTTCACATTCCACAGCTCCACCATCACTTATGGGGGCACAAATGGAGCTTATTATACTTCCTCAAAGACAAGGAGGAGGGGTGGTGATGGAGTAAGTGTTCTTTTCTAAAGGTTGACTAAATTTATTTTTGGCATTTGGTTGGTTACATGTTGGTTATCTCTTGTTTTACCCATATTTATTTGACTCTGTTTGGAACAGATCACCTTTGAAGAAAGCAAAGAAGCTGACACAGCCACAGGGCAAGCAACACACAGGATTTCTAGGGGAGTTTAGAACAAGGTATCTTATTGAATTGTATTTCTGGTACTAAAACTATCTTTTCAATTATTAGTCACTGGCTCTTGTGTTGATTTTTTCTCCTAGTTCTGCCTCAGCTCCACTGTAAGCATTCTACTTTTTAGCTTGAGGTCTGAAGGGTGTACTCATGTTGAGAATTTTGTTGTGCATAGGGCCATTCACTAACAAGGAAGTTAACTTCAACTGGTAGGTGGACACCATGCAGACATCACATAATCTGAATGAAGGTATGTGCTTCTTATCATACATTCATATGCAATGAATTTTTTATTTCAACTTGTTTGCAGGTCTATTAGTGAGTTTACTTCTGTAAATTGCAACATTTTGATGTGATATATGCTTTCCAGATGAGCTTCCTAGTTTTTTTAAGAAGCTTGGAATGGAAATGCTTGAATGCATTTGCCTGGCTGGTCTGGGAATTTCAGTGGGCATGAAACCCTTAGTAAGAACTATTTGGCTTCTCCCTCATGGATTAGTTTTTTATGTCATAAGTGAGTGGCTCCATTTTGTCTGGTAATAGTGGACATAAACAAGGCTGTGGAATAGGTTAGATACATATGCGAACTGATCATAGTACAATTTGTCTCAGGAGCTGGTGACAGCAGACAGAATGGGCAGGCAAGTCAGGGTGGTTGGGCGCTCCCTTCTACTGAGTGTTTTCAGCAGTCTGGGAGAGTTGTGCCAGATGAAAGGGAAAATGCAGGGCCTTCTCATACCCAGCATTCTACAAAGACGAGGGGATTATCAGATACAAGGGATGCGAGTGTATTCTCAGGGGAGAGCAAGGAATTAAAAGCATCAAGTGGAGGTGGATGCAGCAGTACCTTCTAGCACGAAGCACTGAAGTGTCTAGCTTTTACAAGCACCGATCACCCCACACGGAAGTTATCTTTATCATAGTTTTAGACGTACAATTTCAGTTGTCACTTGTCTAGTTGCATCTCTGTCAAGTAGATATACTATTTAGGTGGTTAATCTGAGGATTCTGAGCAGGAGATTGATATGAATGATACCTGTAAATGTCATGTTTCATCTTTGAACCTTTTATACATAAATGTCAAAATCTAGGATGATTACAGAAGATTTATGGTCTATGGAATGGATCTTACATTCAATTTCTAATGTCTCAAATGATTTCCACTTAACTAGTGAATGGAATCAGTTTGTTTTTCAATTTTCTGTTAAGATCATGGTTAGAAGAAAATCTTCCATTACAAAAGAAATTACTTTATTCTGCGGAGAACATAATGCTCTTCGCCTGAATGTTGGTCGACATGCCTGATCCACCGCCTCTCACTGTTGCCTGAGCTTGAATTCCCTCCGCCGCTGGCCACGTGTGCAATATCAAGCCCCTTTCCCACTGGAAGAAACACCAATCGCACGAGCCGCCGTGAACCATCTCCGAAAACGCTCCGCCACCGGAAACTTGAAGTCCCTTTCAAGTTGGCATTCTTGCACATCAGGACTGCACCACGGTTGCTCAGTCTCGCCAGCCTCAATACCCTGGCAAAGTCCCTTCGCCGGCTATCCACCACCAAGAAATCTATCCCATTTAGCCTCTCCATCAATTCCTCTGGCTCTCCGACAATCACTTCCGTCGACATGCCAATCTCTCCCAGGGCATCAATATACTCTGTTCTCGACCTCTCATCTGGGACTATACACACGTGCCTTCCATTTGTGTGACGGCTGGCCACCGCCAACCCAACGCTAGTCGCAGTAGCACCTCCCTGCGACCACGTTTCCGCGATGAATTTCACGTTCCACCCCGCAGCCATGGCTGAAACCAACTCCGGTACGCCGGATTCATGGCGAAAAGTATCACACTTCAACCAAAACCAGGGAAAAAAAAAAATTCAATACAACGGAAACCCAAAACGAAAAATTAAGAAAAATTAATTAAAAGGGTTGTTGCGTACATATTTAACGGTGTCGATATAGGCCTTGGAAGCAGCCTCAGGAGACCAAACTAACTTCATCTCTCTTCCTCTGTTTCTGTTTGTGTCTTGTTTTTCAGGTTGTTCTGTCTTGCTTTGGAAGAAAGAAGAAAATAAGGAGCAGTTTGGGTAGAGCCGTCAGGGTCTTAGGGTTTATATGTAACGTCGAACACGCATTGATTTGAGATTGTAAAAATCCAACGTGTTGGGTGGTTTGGATTAGATTATTACGAATTTTGGGGATTTTGGACCAACAAGATCTTT